TCCGTTGAAGATTTGTATTCACCGACGCTGTATCATTTCGTTTACACGACGCAAAAGATTATAAATTATTATAAATTTTTTTCGCGCTAGCCAGGAAATCGCGTGTCTCGGCTGCCCACGCGCTCTCCCCGCGTCACCGAGCTAACCGGTCTGCCGTACGAGTTTTATACCGCAACAGCCGCCACGGACGATAAATCTAGTCTTTTCAGGACCGGAAGTCCCGGTCTGTGCCGACATCACACGTGAAACCGCCAAGTGTAATATGTGTACTTATTTTGTAAAAAAAAAATAAAAAGGTGTATAATATATAATATTATTATAATATAATGCACGTACAATGTTCATGAGTGTATTATATTATATAAACATGGTCGCCGCCCACCCGAAGTTGAGTGTAAGTACTCTGCTGCAGCCGCTGTATTGTGCAATAGTTATTCAAATTGTTGTGCGAACCGTGAAAAAAAAATTATGATTGAATTAATTACACATTTAATCGATGTGATTAACGATTACTATTGTTTGTTTATGTCTAAGCAAAGATTTTTTTTTCAAATATGTAAAAGGTTTCTTCACGTCGATCGTGTTTAAGAAGAATTTTGCGTAGTGTTTGATTGTTACCTATTGAAAAACTATAAACTTTCAAAAATATATTTTAGACTATAGTTCTCCTCCGTCTTTTTTCTTTGTTTATTATTCAAAATCCATTTTCGGTGCCCATACATTATTACTATTATTATTTTGTTGTTTTTATATCTTAGTTTAAAACATACAATAACGCATCAACAATCTATCGAACTGTTCACCACACCTCTCGATTAGTATAAAATTATGTATAATATAAAATATATAAAATGAAAGAGAAAAATCAACACAACCCTCGTCTCCATTCAACCGCATCATTGATCATCGCCTAACAGTATTATAACAATGAAAATAATCACTTTAAAATCAGTATAGACTATACTTTAGCCCGATCGAAAACAGTACGTAGAGAATTTGCAATGATATATATATGATTATAAAAGTTAAATTATATCGATAAATAATTAATATTAAATAAAATTATAGTGTTTTCTTTGATCGAGTTGCAAATTATCAATAAAACAAAAAAAAATTGTTGTGGCAGTTGTAGACAATCGAAAAAAATATATTTGTTAGGTATTATAAATAACGGTCATCAATATGTTATAAACTCACCTACCTACTGTAGCAGTTCGTTGAATATATACTATGTCATTATAATGAGAGAACTTCTTTATTGAACGACCTAGTCGAATTTACTTTCTATCCGGCTTAACCAATAATTGACATTGGATCCTTACAAACCTAAGTCTTTCGGTTTAAATATCCTATTTACTTTCGATTTTTTTTTTTTTTTTTTAAATAGACATAGGTACTGTATAATAATACTTATTTGTTATTCCATCGATGGTTTGAAAAATTTGTAGCCCCATATCACGACGCAATTCCACGAATCATTCTTACAACTATGGGTTGTTTTACCTAGTATTTCCCTAGAAATTTCAATCCAATAATTTATTTTTAAATTAGGTTTTTTCATTTAATATATTTTTTTTGCTCATCCCGGTATATTTTTGTATTATATCAGTTAACCCGGGTTGTTAATTTTAAGTAGAAATATTTGTTTTCATACTACCCCAGGTTACGGTCAATTTTATATCGACATTTTGATCAGTATTCCATCGTTTTGTTCATTAAAAATAACTAAAAATACATCCGCAATGAGTTATTTACTAATTGAGCCCATACAATTTAATTAAAAATATTAAACACGAAATGAGCTTTTGTAGGATAAAACAAAAATATTTTTTTTATTACAAAATGACGTAGTTTCATACCAATTTCAAAAAATAATAAAAACTTTTATAATTATTGTGTATCTGTAGAAGAAAAAAACATCATACATATCATAAATGTAATTCTGTTTACACTGTTTAGTCCATAGGCACTCGCTAACCAGTAAATTGAAACCTTTGTCAAAAATTAAATCGCATAATAGAATTAAAAATACTCTTTTCAAATCTCATCTTTAATTTGACAATAACAAAATAAAATTATACATTTATTGGATAAACCCAATTGTATTTTATCTTATTGCTATATAATTTACTCGTTTTTGAAAGCTATTTAATGACTACCAAATAGAAAGTCTCTATTGCTAATACTATTGTCATAATAATTATTATCACTGTTATTAACCATAATCTTTCTTAGCTCATACCAATTGATAAGTATCTTTTAAATAAAATATTTATTTTTTTACATTTATTATATTTTTAGCTGTTTTGAGTACATAAAAATATATAATCGATACGTTGGTTATTAAAATATCATTTACAATCGCAAATATTATAAAGCCAAAATATTTAAATATATTAATCTTAATTACATTTTGAATAGTATAAATAAATGTATTTTATCATTTCATTATACATTATTATTAGACTCGGTAGTGGTAGTTTGTTCACGTTTTCACGATCAAAAAAATTAAAGTGTCATTAACTATTGAATATACTTTTTTATATAGATTCAATGCGTACATAAAATATATTTATGCCGTACAATATCTGAATTTTTTTTTTTTGTTAATTATAATTTATTAGAGGTCATTAAAATAATTCATTTGTAGTGAGCTATTATATTTGTATATAAATTATAAAAATTACACAATTTTTAATGATGTATAATATTATTATTTAAAATGATTCCATGCAAATAACTTGCTTGTTTAAATAACAGGGAAGTAAAAAAATTATTGCATTCGTAAGTAGAAAAATAACCCCAAAAAATACAATAGTAATTATTATTAAAATAACTTTTATTTGGTTTCCGGGCGTTTTATATAGGCAATATAGGTACATTACGGCGAAAGTGGTTTAGTAGTAAAATGTTATTTTATGTTACATCGAAATAAAATAAGCAATTTAACAGACAAATAACAAATCAATACAACATAATATAATATAAATAATTATTAAAACACGAATTTTATTTTATAATTGTATGGTTAACAGTGTCTTTATTAATTCAATATTGAAAAATACTTTTGAGTCGATGAAGTTCTTAGGTTCATCACGTCGGTTATTAAAATCAAACAATTGTATACGTTATTAAAATCAACACAATACATTACAAAAGTCAAAAAGTGTTACACACTTGTAGCGACTCGCGACTGACATTATGTATTGTTAACTTTTAAGCAAGTAGTTTCTCAACACAAAACTGATTGTTAATGTCGTAAATGACTTTAAAATTTGAATATTAAAAAGCAGATTTGGAATCATAACTACACTCACACACAAACAAACACACAAGCAACTTTATGTTGTAATGCGAAATTAATTAAACGATATTTCTGATAAAACTTAAATAAAACTTTATTGTTTATATTACTTTTAATAGCTATAATGTTTAAATTCATTCAGTTTGCATTTTTAGAGTATTATCGTCTCAAAGGTATAACAAAACAAAGAGAATTAAGTTTAACGAATTAATATACATAATTATTTTAATGTTCGTCAGTTTCGGTTTGTTGATTTATCGCTCCCATACTTCATTGCAACAATACGGACACACATCTTACTCCGCACAGATCGGACGTGGATTTGTTGAGTTAAATTAATTTTACTATATTGTAACTGCTGCTGCAGTCGTATCTCCGTTAGAACCGTACGCTGCCTTGTTAACGATCTCAAAAGAATTGAAACTATTCGGCAGTTTGCGTTCATACACAACGTATTCATAACATATTATATCGTATTTTACCTATAAATGCGTCCGAGAGCTAAATAATACGACGTAGAATGTTATTTGGTGCACGCGCTACATAGACGAACACAAACGATTTACGATGTCACGAGCACGAGATAGTAGAAAACCGACTGAAATGTTGGCTAACAAGTTCGACTGCTGTTACGGGTAGTCGTTAATTTTTAGATTTTTAATATTTATTATTTCAAGAGATATTTATTATTCTATATTAATATAAAATAATCTAAAGAAGCCGTAGTGATAAAATAAAATGATTTGTAATTAAATCTTCAAAACATATTATTCTTTGAACGCTAGTTTTCAATATCTGAAAAAAAGACAAAATTGCTACCACAATAATATTGGTTTGCGTCATATGTTATTATTTTATTCTGAAGAGTAGAATTGTATTGTATAGACTCGCAAACCTAATATATATAATCATATCCTTATACGTATGGCGTCCATCAGTGCGTGAGTTATTTATTTTATGAGTTCATAGTAAAGCCATTCATTACATTATTGTTATATGATCTTTAATGAACGGATGTAGACGCAGACGGTAAAATATAAAATAACGATTTGTTAGTACAATAATCTATTACTGGTTATTAAAAAAGAATATTATAAGTTATTTAATTACTGTATTTTGTTAACATTTTTGATGTACAATATAAAGTTTGTTAACAAATTTAAACAGTTTTATGATTAACTAATAATTAAAATATATGAGCCATAAGAATAATGTGTATATACATATTTTCTAAGATTCATGATTATCATTAAATATAATTATACTTTGAATATTTTTTTATATCTACAAATATGGTCAATACAATACAATAATAATTACAAATACGGTGTGTGATTATAGTTTCAATAATTTTAATAAATAATTTTATAATCAGTGTAGAAATATATTCATAGAACTGCCAAAGTCGATGAAAAGTCATTTATTAAAATTTATCGATTTTAAATAATATCATATTGAGTAATCTTTGAAATTTGTTTGCACAATATTTGTTAGTTAAAAAAAAAAAAACACGTATTAAAAGCTCATTTGTGCAAACACGCTCTTGCGAAATCGATCAACGCATCTACGCAGAGGCGCCATCTCGATAACGCACGCGTAAACAATTAAAAATAATATGAACTACTATATCGATGCATACTTTATTTTTTATTTCTGTTCTTATCCTGTTCTAATGTGGTTATTATTTCTGTTTCAGAGTCCGTTTAATATAGATCCAAAGATGGACCTCGACCGGAGACTGAACAATGAATATGTCGACGTATCAACACAAGCGTGTATACATAATTACAAATATTACTACAGTTCAATAATACGCATAATATGTTGGTGTTAAAAAAAAATAAAAAAATATTTGATAAATATAAATATAATCATGAACATTATTGTTCGAAATTTTCGGAACTATAGGTGTGCACATAATAAAACGTACGATTATGTCAATGTAAAATAAATTAATATTAATAATATAATATTGTAATAATCGAAGGTTTTTTTTTATACAAATTGAAATCCTCATCGGAACACAACGGAGTCAAATACCGACGCGATTTAATCTTTAAATAATAATTGTAGTAATGATAGTAAAAAGAAAAATATTTATTTGATGTTTGTACATAAATAATATATTACAAAGTTATAATAATATTATGCACGTTCACATCAGTTGTATGTGTGCGTGCGTGCGTGTTATGTATATGCAAATAATATTTTATTGTAATAATTATAAAACTATAACCTATTGAAACGATAAGCTTTTAATCAACAAACTTCCCCTTTCCGCGCGCATTCTCATTTTGGTGGTACATTGTATAATAATAAAATATACAACAATGGCAACACTCTAAAATCAGTCGGAATACGCGATGCCGAAAATATTCTGTACGCATTGTGTATACAGTATTCGTGCGATTATCGAAAAAAAAATGCAAGTTTCATAAGATCATAATATCAATATTTTAAACGCGCATAAAAAATACTTAATACCATACGTTTTCAAGGTTTTGTGTTTTAATCGCTATACCTGCGACATGTACATAATTATATTATATTATATATTGTATTATATTCTATTATAATAATACCTATGTATAATTTACTTTAATATCGTTTTAGTTCATATATCGTGTACAACCATTACAATATTTATAACTATGTATATGATATATATATATTTATAATGTGCAAAGTCTAAATAATATTATCTTCGTAAAAAAATGCATTAACGAAGACGAAATCAAAAAATTCGTAGATCGCGTGCTCACATACCGGTAACGGTTTAAAGTGATGTCGTCAGTATATTATATATATATATATATATGTATATATATAGTTATAACTTTTGTAATTTAACTTTTTATTATTATTATTTTTTTTTTTTTTAATACTATGTAACGGCGGCAGCGATTAACTTACACTCGAGTCCCAGCCACCAGAAGGATAGATTTTAACGAGTTTATTTTTATTATTATATTCTCATTATCAAAACTTTTAAATTTTCCAGTATTATTATTATTATTTTATTTTTATTTTTTTGGTCCCGTAACTGAAAGGCTGATTTAATGTAATATCGTTGTTCTTATAAATTCTAAACATTGTGTGTAAATAATTTATTTTTTATTATTGTTTGAATCCGATAGTTGTGGTCAAATCCGATGGCTTAACGGGTTTTTATTGATTTAAAATAGTTTATTGTCGCATTCGAAGTAGTCTTTATAATTCTTCTCTCTTATATACGTATACAGGAAAAAAAAATCTGAAATCGTTTAAATCTTCTGGTGGCTAGTGATGTGCTTTATCTCAACAAGTGGTTCAAAGCACGGGGTCTAATGTTTCATTTTTAATTTGTCGATCCGTACATTAATAATACATAACTACCGACAACATATACAGCCAAAATATATTTTAAAATCTAAACCTCATTAAATTAAAGAACAATTTTCAATTGTTAAATGTAATAAAGATTATTGTTTTTAGTATTTTTAATATTATCATATATTTATATAATTATTATTATAGAGTGTAAAAATTCGTGTATTTAATGCCGTTCCCCTTGTTTGTTTATAAAATCGATTAAGTATTATTGTGCTGTACAATTATATTGTAATAGTTTTCGTAGAAATGTTTATATGTTTTTTTTTTTTTTTTTTTGTACACGATAAAAAAAAATAATAATAATTAATGCATACGACCAAAATCGCATTGCGCTGTTGTCATTATTCTTGTTGTAGTATTATGTTACTGATTGCACTAAAAAAACTTCATTACAATTAAACAGCTGTTTTCTATCCGTCGTTTATATTGCGTCACAACAGCTCCGAATGACGACGTTTGATACCAAAAATATTCTCGCACACATTTAAAAGAATATTTTTTATTTAATATCTAATTCACGTCATTCAGGAGCTTCATTAATATTGAACGAAAGAAGATAGGTAGACTGAGACAAATGGTTCACCTAAAAGTTTACATAAAGCCGGGGTAATATCTTATTGAAAAATCGTATCGGCGAAAGACGTTATTATCATATACGTACACAATATTAAAATAATTAAATAACGTGTATTTATATTTTGGAATAAATTGGCTGCATATTTTCAAATCATTTAAAATTAATTTTTCTGAAAATACTAAGGATAAATTATATATTATATATTTCTAAGACTTACTGTCTGACCCGGCACTCAGCATAGTCTAGTTTTTTAATGATTCGTATTAGTTTAGACTAATAACATCCATGTCGTTCAGTACAAAATTATAACCACAATAGTACAATGCAATTCTAAATAAATTTTTTTGTAGTTCTTCGCCCCCTCTCCTCTTATTAAAATCTGAAATAACGCATTTAACGCTTCTTTTTTTCGTTTATAGGATGATAACGAAACTTGAGTTCTCCATTCCAAAATACTATATAGTCCAAAATCGATTTTTTGGAAGTAATAAGAATACTAAACTTCCTGTGTTCATGACCGATTTTTGAATGTCTGCGACCAATCATCAGCTATTAATATTTCAACGGCAACGCTTCTCGTCAATCGAACAAATTCCATCGAAACTTTTAGGTAATATGAGTTCCACACCGATAACCGTCTTCAGTTATACTTAAGTTCTACATAAAAGGGATAGGCATGCGACAAATTTACGGAATGTTTTTACGTCCTGTAACCTACGAAAGAGTAGCATATATTTCCATTTGTGGTGACACGTGCCAAGCACGCCTGCAATTACGTTGACGGTTTTAGTTTTATCAAACCTTCCAGACTATATAATAATATTAAACTATTGCAGTTAGCGTTGAACAAGACAATTCTGTGATTACCCGATTCGATACGATCAACAATTGTCGTTGGATTAATTTTGATTGAAAACTCTTTCTATACGGATAGTACGGAAGTACTACTTATATTATACGAGTATAAAGATTCTGATGGTTCAGTTAAAATCAATAAAAATTTACTTTAAAAAAAACCAGCTAAACATTAAATAAGTATTGTATATTATGTACTGAAATTTAATCAATTTCAAACTATATATATATATGTACAATTGTCGTTATTTAAACTTTATTCGACGGCTTTATAGGGATTTCTTTTTTAATGCATGCGACTATATTGGACTAGTGAGAAATTGCATTCCATTTCACTTTCATTACGTAAATAGTTGTGTTTTTCGTTTGAAATCAAATTCGGTGGACGGCTTTTATTTTATGGATGAATTTTTGGCAAGTCTTATTATAACATAAGTTTTGAATAACACAATACTTACGAACAGTCTATATTTAAACGTAAAATTTATTCCCTCCTACCCTCAATACAACCATTGCCATCATCAGTTATCGTTATTATTTATTACGATATCGCGACATTCGCAGGATATCTATACATCATTTCAGAGACTTATACGGTATAAAAAAAACGTAAGTACACGCATTTGCTACGGCAGAATATCAGAGAAGTCCAACGCTCGGAATTCTTCTCGGGGCACACGCGCGTGCCAGTTGAAAAACAAAAAAAAAAATCCGAAAAATAAGAAGAAGCCGACGACCGTCGCGTACACAGGATGCAATAATTTCTCGTAGCCCGACGCCCGCCGGAGTGTACGGCTACGTGTCGTATAGTGGGCAAGTAGGGACGACGCGTCGCACAGGGTGTATTTTTAAACGCCGGGCGCCAACGGATATCTGCGGCGGTGGCACCGGCTACGGCAGTGTCGCAGTCGTTGTCGCGACGCGTCCATTTCGTATAGCGACGCGTAAGCGAATACAATTGTCACGAGACGACGCCGAACGAACGAAAAAAATTTAAAAATTAGTTGTAATTACGACACGCGTATAAAATATAAACTGTAGTAATTATTCGCGCCGTCGGTGTCTATGTAGAGTGTAAGCTGACGGCTAAGCATCCACACGACGAAGGTAACCACGCGAGACCGCACGACGGACACGCACGAGGTGAGTACCTACGTACCGATATTTTTTCCACCCCCTTGTCGAGTAGTAGATTTTACGGGTGGTAGGTTGAACCGATAGGTTCGGTGTAAAAAAACCGAAATGACGATAATTTATATAGGTAAAGATCTTGCGAACGATACACTCAGTTACATGAAACGCAGTATTTCGTTGCACATCTATGATGCAACGCATTTTTTTTATGCAGAATGACTCACTGCCTACCTAATAATGTATTAACCCGATAAACTGGTGAGATATAATACTATATATATATGAGATGAAACACTACTGCGATCTCCTTCCAAAATAAAAGCTGATCTCGGACGGCTGAGTAAAATATTTACACAGTTTTTAATAGGTATATATATTATTTTTGAATAATACGTATTGTATTAGTAAATATATATTTGCTATATCATTTTCCAGAAAACTCACACCAAGAATTATTGTGAAAATTTTAAAATTGTTATACGCTTGCAAATTATTAATTTCAATAAATTTTATTGATACTTATCACTGACTGTTGAATTATTCAAAACAGAAAGGTTGAGTTTGTCACCTACCTACGTCGAATTTGATAATTAATCGGAAAAATTATAACTTATAAGTCATTAATTTATAATTTTCACATGTTACATCCATTATAAATAGGTAGTTATTTTATAAAAAAAAAATAAGCTCTGATCGTGTTGCTTGTTGTGTGTATCTTTCGTGGGTAGATGGATTCACAATACAAACTGTATATATATATATATAAAATACCTGTTTTCTTTTATTGATCTTTTTGAAATATTATATTAACTCCTCGAAGTATTTAATTTATATTTAACTATACATTTTAGAAAGAACAGCCGAACAAATAAGTTTTTTTATGAAAATAGAGCTAAACATCAGAATTTGTTGTTACTATCAAAACATTTATTAATTTGTACACGTAAATCAAGTCAAACATTTAAACATAAAGTTAAGCATTCTATTAATTTACAATATAACAGTACACACCACAGCGAAGGAAAAGGTTAATAACAAATATTAACTTCATAAACATAATTATACACATAAATTGTGTAAAAAAATCCATCGTTCCTAACCAAATAACCCAAAAAATTTAATTAAATATAGATTTTTTTTTTTTATTTCATTTATAATAAACCAGAATAAATTATATTACTTTGTATTTTATTATAAACTCTACTGTATAGGTATTTAAATTATTTTTTTTTTTACAAGTTTGATTTGTGTTATTTAATTTAATTTTGAATATTAAATTTCAGATATTTAAAAATCGTAATATTATATTTCGTTAGATAAATTGTTTATTTAAATTCCGTCGTTATAGGTACGAATAACTTGATTTTCTGATATTGCGCCAAATCAGTAGTGTACATAATTTGTTCAGTAACAATAATAATAAACGTAAGACATTTAATTTTTTTTCAATTGTAATATTAATTCCAGATTGAAAATTCGTATCTCTTTTACATTCAAATAATATAATAAAAAGTACAAAAAAATATACATAATTAATTTTTATTAACAATTTACGTCGTTTTATTTATAAGTATAATGCGTTTGGCGTAAAAAAATAGTTATTATGATATTGATAAAGAATCATAAAATATATAATATTATACTATAGGTACGCCTTCCACGAACGCCTTTGTGCGGTCATTTCAAATGCAATAAATATATAAAAACTATTGAATAGACAACTGCGATCAATCATTAAACATAATAGTTAAATCGATAAAATCTTTCTGTGATTGAAATCATAATCATTTTTAAACAATCGACAATATAAGTCACGTATTTTAATATATCTACCTACATAATGTGAATTGTATGTTTTATTATATTCGTCTATTAACGAATACCGACGCCACTACGTCTCACCGTGAAACGCAACCAATTGTCTCGCCTGTCAAGTTAAATATGTATTTTTTAAACTAAAAAAATATTATTTTTAACGCCTCCGGTCACTACATTATTAATACTGACGGCATCGATTTCTATTTCTATTTCCAAATTGTCACAACTCTCGTAATAATAAAACAGGACGTGGTCGCGGTCGCTATTGATCTGCAAGTTATTCACATATTATATTTATATACGAGTATATATTAAGTGTTGAGGAGTAGTGGTATGGCAAGAGGATCTTTGATATTGTGCTCCGATGTCTAAAGGGAGTCTAGATAACAATTTGCGTAATCATTGATGCGAAAGCATTACAAGGATTTATTATTATAAATCTGAACTATACCTGAAAACTGTTTGTGAAAGGAGTAGATTAACATGGGTTCAACAGCGAGTAAAAGGTTGGCATTTGATAATGTTTACTGTATTTTTCCTATTATGGGTATATATGAACGTAGGTTTGACATTTCACCCTCATGAAGTGGCATACTCGTGAGCAGGAAAGGCCACTTGATGGAATTTAACTCGTATATTTACGAAGACAACTATAGTTAGAAGATCGACTTTCGGGGTTTTTTTTTTTTTTTTCATGTATTTTCTCTCGTCGTATAAATGTGAAACGGTAAATAATTATTATCATATAAAATTATGTATATTGACATTCATATTTCTGAATTAAGTACCAATCGTTCATAGCTTAATCTACAGGAATTAGTAGTATTAGAAAAATACAATTAGTTTTAGACTAACTCCTAAGCTTGAGCCATCGAACAATCTTACAATCATAACAAAGCAATAAACATAAATCACTACAGTCACTTGTATTATTAAAATGTTACGTATCTTTATATTTTTTGTAAGTACTTAAATATGACGTTTAAAAATAAATATATAATTGAACATTTTACTGTTTAGAGGATGTGAAGAAGACTGGTATTTGTCGTATCCATCTTATAAACTTAAAACAGTAGAATTACATTCATTATTCAGCAGAACTAATTTTGAGTTGGTAGCTTTATTATTAGTGACAGTTGACCTATTATCAAACTTAAAAGTAAGAATATTACTTTGCTCGATGGCGAACATACACAAATCCTTCCATTGTTATTTGAGAAAATCATAATCCCCTCTCATTCTAATTTAACTTTTAATAAAACGCTATATATGTACTCATTTTTATGTTTATAAATAGTTTTTACTACACTTAAATGTATAAACAAACCGTAAGTATTTTTAAATTAAAATATTTTTCATGTTCTTAAATTTTAATTTTAATACCGTAAGAGAAAAAACATAAGAACACAAATGATTTGCTTACCATTAAATTTGATGATAGATCAATTCACTCTAATACTGAACCCATTTTCACAAAATCGGTTGTGCCGAATAAAATTTCCCCCCTACCCCAATGTCATACGCATGAACGTTCCGTGAAAATTGTGCTTCGCAAACGATATGCCACTGCATGTTCACCATCGTAATTAATATATACATCATGACGTGTGTTATAAAATTATAATATATTTATATAAACATTATACATCTATATAATATTATATGTAATAAATTTAAAAAAGACATTGCTCACCATCGCCGTCTGGTGTACGAATATCTTCGTGTTTGATGACGCCGTGGACAAATAAAAAAAATAACCGTAATGGCACGTCGTTCGAACTTTGAATTATTGTTTCCGGCGGATATACGAGACAGCGGTGGCGCGGCGGTTGCATTGGAGACGGCCTTCGTACGTACGCGATAATATTGTATTATTAAATTGCATAATAATATTATCCACTCTTTAATATATTATATCTTTTTACGACTCTAGCCGATCGCGTTTCATTGATAACGCGACAGCGGCGCGGTTGTCATTTGGTTTATGCTAATATACACATGTACGTATATATAGTGAGATTTAATTGTCATACTTAACGACGACGACGTTATATAGCAATATTACCGCGCGCGTACATCATAATTCATAATATTATTACTCTTATATCATTATATATATATATACGACTGGGGCGTCTTGTGTAATAATATAAATAATATTATATGCCTGCAGCGGACAGAATACACTGCACCGCACACTGCACTTAATAATAATTACTGTATATACCAGCCTGCAGCTGTATGTGTGTGTACTTGCATTAGGTGTCTAATAGCAAGTTAAGGGAACTGAACCTGTACGCAGTCACAAAAGTCCAATTTATCGTTATGACCTAGGTGGTATAATATATACGTAACAACGGTTATTAAACGGGATGCAGAAAGCTGTCCATAAATACATGAACATCTTAAACTTCCGTCAGTCGATTACGTCATTTCATTATATGTGCCTAAATAGAGTGTCGTTAAATTTTGTTATCTGTGTGTAATTGTGCTTGTTACACGGCCTGTGGCCAAAAACAGCCACACAATTTTAAAAAAATAATAAAAACATAATTTTTTAGTACACTTTAGAAATGTAGATCATTATTATGTTTATTTGTATACATAATATTAATATAGAGTTTGATGGAGATTAAATAATACATTATATTATTGTGCCAAAATAAATCTGTTTTGTTAAAAAGTAACACTCTTTTCGTTTATTTATTTATTTATTTTTTTTTTTTTTTTTTGTTAACAGCCCAAGGGCTGGATGGCAGCATTCCTTCACTCTTCACACTTCTCCGTTTTACGTTTTAGTTCATAGTATGTTAAACACCCTATATCCTTAACTACTTGGCTTATGTATTCAAGTGGTGGCCTTACTCGACTATTCATTCCTTCTGTTAATCCTTCTATTATCCTACCTAATAGACTGTTATGTCGTAGTGTATGTCCAATTAGCTTAGCTCTTCTTATTTTCAAAGCTTTTAGAAAACTTTTTTCCTTTCCTACTCTTCGAAAAACTTCTTCATTTGTTATACGTTCCATCCAACTTATTTTAAGAATTCTTCTATAGCACAACACTTTGAATGCAAGTATTTTATTTTCTTCGGCCTTCTCTATTGTCTATATCTTACTACTATAAAGTACCACGTTCGAGATATAGGTCTTTAGTAGATTTATCTTTATTTTCAAATCTATATTTCTAG